ATTTCGTAAACGTTAGGCTGTTAGTAACTTTTAGTATGTGCATTTTTGTTATTATGGTCATTATTGTTGTTGATATGATTACTACTAGTATGATAATTACCCTCAATATTCTGATAATCATCGTCTTCATTGTAATCATCACCATCATCATTTTACTGAGGTTATATTATCACAAATGATAATGATGAATTGATCAATTTAGTTTAAAAAAGAGTCATTAACTGGTGATTTTTTGGACAATCAGAAAAAATGGCTTAATCCACCATTTCAGAATCATGTCCTCTCCTATGTTGACAAAAGCAGATCATTAATTGACGATTTATTTTTAACATCACAGAAGCGTCAGGAGGAAAGCAGACCATCCTCCTCTGTGCATAAACGTGTATGTAAGCAATATCTTCTATTCTGCTAATACCTCCATAAAAGAAAAAAAAAAATGTATTCTCTATGCCTCTCTTCCGCTGTGGATAACAACAAGGCCATTGATTAAGTGAGCGCAGTTACATTCCTTATTATTACTTAAGTCTCCGTCAAATTTGTCCAGTTTTCTTTGGGTGTTATTCTCCGTTTTCTTTCATATGCGACCAAAGGAGGTTGCCTACTTGTCTTTTAAAGTGATGAATAGTTGGATGATTCTTGTCACTATTTAAGTACCAATGTCATTTGATTTAGGCTATTGATGGGAAAATAAGATGTAGCTTTAGGACTTTTTGTTTACTGAAGAGTAGATTTCACAGGAAACGCTGATTTATGTTGGTGAGACATTTTGAAATACAAATACATGTTGACATGTATTTTACATAGACCTGTGGAAAAAGTAGCCTGTGCTTTAGTTACCATTTCCCCCGCATTTCTTTTTATATAAATGCAATTTTTAGCAGATATGTAATATATATTTGCTTATATATTTTTATTTCACTGTTTTGAAAAGCTTAAATATAAATTCTCACCTGTAAAAATTAGTTTATTATTTAGTGCTCTATTGTTAGAAGAATCCTCTCTCTGTAATAGCATATACAAAATAAATGTATATGCGCATTAGCACATGTACTATTTATGAGTTTAAGTGCTCGCTTACATGAATATAGATTTGCACATACACATGTACACACACACTCAGACACACGTATAAGATCATACGCAGATATACACACAAATATACGAAAATGCAAACGCATACATATATACGAGTGTATTGATGGACGCAGGCATGTACACACACATACTAAGGCACACATACATACAAACAAGCGCACATACATACATACAAGACAAAGACACGCACACTCGAGAAACAAATAACAAAGACAATAACCTTGCACTATACCCCCTCCCCTTCCCCCCCAATCATCGGAAATCTATGTATGTTTTATTTCAGTTCATTTGCGGTATAATAATAATAACACTATTTTAAGGGTATTCTCAAAGAAAAAAAACGAAAAAAAATCAAAAACACGTAAAATCGACCTTAATCCCAACAGTCCTTCCTACTCCATTTGATAATTACAATATTAAAACGAGCAAAGAAAAAGATCATAAAGCAAAACAAAAAATATATTTCCTTTCCCTTCCACTGATCCCTCCCACCCCCACCTCTCCCTTCCTGTACCCCCCACCCCCACCCCGTTCCCACTCACCGATAGATGCCTGTGATAGACCTCCATGCTGACAACCCCTCCCCCCCTCCCCCCCTCCCACTTCCTTTCCTTCTGAAGTTCTTTTATTCATAAGTAATTTCTTCACATATCGAGTATGTATATAGGTATTAATTAATAAAAAATATACTGGTTTTCGTGTTGTTTTATTTATGCATTCCAAACGCACACAGACACACACACACACACGCACACACACACACACACACACACACACACACACACACACACACACACACACACAACACACACACACACACACACACACACACACACACACACACACACACACACACACACACACAAACACATACACACGCACATACATATATAGTGTATCTATATAGATATGTTCAGTTATTCCTAAAGCATAACAAATGTCTATACCTTCTAAATGATTTACACTGTAATCCTTTATAATAAACGCATAATATTACACAAACGTAATAAAAATACAGTACCAACGAAACCAACACACACACACACGCACACACACAAACACAAATACATACACGCGCACATACGTATATAGTGTATAATAGTGTATAAAATTACAGTACCAACGAAACCTGATAATGATAATCTTAATAACAAAACATTAGGTTCAAAACCAAAGAATCCTCGACACCGCAGTGGGACATAAATTAGATAGATAGAGAAGAGAGAGAGACAGACAGACACAGAGAGACAGAGACAGAGAGAGAGAGAGAGACAGACAAACACAAGAGAGAGAGAGAGAGAGAGAGAGAAGAGAAAGAGAGACAGACAGACAGAAGGAGAGAGAAGACAAAGAGAAGAGGAGAGAGGAGAGAGAGAAAGAGAGACAGACAGACAGACAGACAGAAGGTGAGAGAGAGAGAGTGAGAAAGATACAAACAGACAGACAGAGAGAGAGATAGACAAAGAGAGAGAGAGAAAGAAAGACAGACAGACAGGAGAGATAGAGAGAAAGAGAGAGAGACAGACAGACAGACAGACAGACAGAGAGAAAGAGAGACAGACAGAGACAGAAGGAGAGGGAGAGAAAGAGAGACAGACAGAGACAGAAGGAGAGAGAGAGAAAAAGAGAGAGAGAGAGATAGACAGAGAGACAGACTAAGACAGAAAGAGAGAGAGAGAAAGAAAGACAGACAGACAGACAGAAGGAGAGAGAGAGAAAGAGAGAGAGACAAAGAGAGAAGACAGAGAGAGAGAAAGAGAGAGAGAAAGAGAGAGGAGAGAAGAGAGAGAGAGAGAAGAGAGAGAGGAGAGAGGAGAGAGAGAGAGAGAGAGGGAGAAGGGAGAGGAGAGAGAGGAGAGAGGGTGGGAGGGAGGAGAGAGGGAGGGAGGAGAGGGAGGAGAGGAGAGGAGAGAGGAGAGAGAGAGAGAGAGAGAAGAGAGAGAGAGAGAGAGAGAGAGAGAGAGAGAGGAGAGAGAGAGAGAGAGAGAGAGAGAGAGAGAGAGAGAGAGAGAGAGAGAAGAGAGAGAGGCGAGTCGGAGAGGGGGTAGGGAGAGAAGGGAGGGAGG